AGTATCCAGATGGCACCATACGAGGCATTGTACGGGAGAAAGTGCAGATCCCCGCTTTGTTGGGCAGACTCGGAGAGAGAAAAATTTGGGGTCCAGATATAGTAGATCGTACCTCTGAACAGATTAAACAGATCAAACAGAGGTTACTCACGGCTCAAAGCAGACAGAAGAGCTACGCCGACAGTAGGAGAAAGCCGTTAGAGTTCGAGGTTGGAGACCATGTCTTCCTGAAGGTATCTCCAACTACCGGAGTAGGACGATCTATTAAGGCGAGAAAGCTGACGCCTAAATATGTGGGACCATTCCAAATACTCTCAAAGGTAGGACCTGTAGCCTATCGACTGGCCTTACCCCCGAACTTAAGTCAGTTGCACAACGTCTTCCATGTTTCCCAGTTGAAGAAGTACAATCCGGATCCAGAGCATGTGCTAGAATATGATCAGATTGAGCTCAAGAACAATCTGACATTTGAAGTAAGACCAGAACGCATAGTGGATCGGAAAGTCAAGCAGCTGAGGAACAAAGGAATCCCTTTGGTCAAAGTGATTTGGAAAGATCTAAATCAAGAAGAGGCCACGTGGGAAAAGGAGGACGAGATGAGGAGCAAGTATCCAGAGCTCTTCACAAGGTATGTGTTAAAATTTCGAGGACGAAATTTATTTTTAGGGGGGAAGAAATGTCACACCCTGATAATTTTATTCTAACTGATGAATGATTTGTGACTGATTAAAGCCAAGTAGTATAGTAGACTGGTAGAGGATCCAGGCTATGAGGAAAAATCAGGATAGGGAACATAACGGTCATTTCTGAAAAGATCAGTTAAGAAAGGGCAGTATTGGAATAATGTCCAAATTTCCTGAAAAATTCCCAGAAAATTATGAAAATAGAAGGAGGGTACAGAATAATGTTTGAGACTTAGAAGATGAATATGAGATTATAAAAAATTAATGTCAGGAAATTATTTGAATTATTGGAATTTTTGGTTAATTAAGGAAAATTAGCCAATTTCCATTATATAAAATATATAGAGGCCTCAAAATTCAAGGAAAAATATGGATAAATTATGTGACATATTATCCTAATTTATAAAATTATTTCCCACCTTTGGATGTACAAAGGTTAGCTTAAAGGATATTATTACCGAATTATTATCGGTAGAATAGTGATTTTTGACAGAATAAAATAAAATTTAGAAATTATAGAGGGAGATAGAACTTGAGAAAAATCATGGATTACCCTTGGAATGAGGGGAATTAATGAGGTGTTGAAATCGGAATTTTGTGACAGTAAATTGGACAGGATTGTTGGAAAATCGGACCGGAAATACACAAATAATCAGTGGATTGCACTGATTATTGGATGAGTCATATTTTTCCAATATTAAGAGCAATAATTCGGCCAAAATTAGAAGGAGAGGACAAAGTTGGAATTTTTCAAATTGTTCAAGGGCATAAAGGGAAATAAGAGACAAATAATAAAATAATATTTATTTTCCACATGAAAATCACATGGTGATTAGGTGTCCCTACATGTGTCACTTTCTTATGGTGAGTGCCCTAAGATTTGTCCACGTGTAAAGTAGAAAAAAATGGACGGCCGAGATCGCATCTTTTTCCCGAAGGGCATTTTCGGCATTTTGAAATATCAAGGCCTATAAATACCCCCCCCCTTTCATGAAGAATTCGGCCAAGAGGTGTTTGTTGGGAGAGAATTTTGTGTTCTTGAGTTCTAGAGAGAGAAAGGAAGAAAGAAGAGAGGAGAAAGAGAGACAGCAAGCTTAATCACCTCTAATCGCCGATTAAGCGCTAATTAAGGTATGTTTATCTCCCTAAGTGTTAATTATTTTTAGTTGATTATTTATTTGAGGAAGATTAGGATTAATTACCTTGATTAATTATGGTTTAGTGATAGCTAAGGTTAATTATGTTATTTGATTAAGGATTAGTAAGTGATTAAGGTTAGCTACCCTAATTAATTAGTGATTAGTTATGATAATTGAAGGATGATTAATTATGGGTAATCATGTTGATTAAGTATTGATTAAAGCTTAATCATATTGATTAGAGAATGATTAATGATTAATCATATTGATTAGAAAATGATTAATCATGTTAATTAAGGAATGAATAATGGTTAATCATATTGATTAGAGAATGATTAATGATTAATCATATTGATTAGAAAATGATTAATCATGTTAATTAAGGAATGAATAATGGTTAATCATGTTGATTAGAGATGATTAACGGTTAATCCAAAAAGGGATTAGTGATTTAATCTTAAAGGATTATGACTATGTGACTTGAGGACCTTAATTAAGTATTGGATTAAGGACTAAGGGTTAGTGATTAACCAAGGAAGCATGATTAATCATGGGTTAAGGAAGAATTCCAAGACCTTACTTGAGGATTAAGGCTTGGTCAAACCAAGGTCAAAGGTTTAGGAAAGGTATACAGAATTATAAATTGAAAGATACAAGGGTAGCATTATATTGAGAAAGAATGGTATACTATATGGATATGGAATTTACCATACCCTTACTGTATGGTTGATAGGCAACTCTCCTGGAAACCTAGGAGGATCTCCAGCAAGGGATCAAGGAGGAAACGTTAAGCAAGGAATTGAGGTAGCGTGAACTGCAATTATTTTGTTGATCTGCATTTGATGTATCTGCTATGTGTGTTTATGTGCCATGAGAATGTTATGTACAGATGATGTGAACTCCTTGCAATGTATGCCTTGGCTCTTGCATGATTGAGTTTTGACCAGAATGATTATATGCTCCATGATATGATGACATGGATACAGAATGATTATAGCATGGCATAAAGACTAGAAATGTTATCTTACTGCATGTAGCATGACATCTTATGCATGTTGACTTGATGGTTGTATGTTCAATGCTACTGGGATTTCTATGAAATCTCATTCCTCCTATAACATGATATCCTAGGTGCCACTACTGCTAAGGAGAAAGGAAAGGAAATAGTCATGGCTTGAAGAAGTTATGAATTATGTAATGTATTATACGGTTTTGAACCTTTCTCTTTCAAGCCATGTAAGCATACTATGTTCATAAATACATGATATGATACCCTTTTTGGAATGTATATTAATGATAGAGTAGCTTTATAAGTGATTATGGTATGATTATAGTGAAAAACGAAATGCTGTCAAAATTAGTGAAAAAGGGGATAAAAATGGTCTAGATTTGACCAAACTTTGACCAACGAAGACCCTGGTCAAATGGTTGACTTTTTCCCTGAAATTTGGTATGCAAATAGATCTTATTTTTCCCTTTAAAATGAGTGGTAAAGCGTCCCAATCGGAGTTTTGTGTAAGAAGTTATGCCTTTCCGAAGTTAGGCAAAAATCCTGGAAAATAGAAAAATGACCAAATGAACAGTACTTTTCGAAATTGAAAACGAATGCGTTTCTGATTAAAGCAGAACCTGAGGTCATTTTTCCTTGATAGATGATGTTAAGAGCTTCGAGTGAGACTTGGAACGACCTCGTTTCGATTTTTCTAGAACTAGTTATGATTTTTCAAAGTTATGCCAAGTTTAAGATTACGGTGAATAGTAATGCGGGAAAAGAAATTTTCAAATTCAGGTTTTTCAACCCGGTAACCTTAGATTGCGCTTCCGAATGTCTTAACTTGGCACAACATAAGGTCGTAAACGTAAGGTGTTACACCAAGAATATTTTAGATACTCTTGACTCTTGTTATACTTCTAACACTTGTGTTGAAGCTAAATGTGAAGACAGCTCACTTGAGACCGATCAAAAAAGGGATACACAATCATCCACTCTCAGTGAACAAATGGAAGTCGAGATCGAAGAAGGTAAAATCACACAATACTTCCATAAGTCTGTCAACACAGAAGAACAAGAGGAAGATGAGCATCAAGAAGAGCTCAGTATGGACGAATATGATGAATCATTATTTAGAGCTCAAGATGCACTTAAGGTAAATGGTTCCAATTCTTCTCCTACACTACTTATGAAAAATGATTTTGAAAGTTTGCATAAAACTGTTGATCAACCAGTCATTGATTATGTTTTCAAAAGTAAAAATGTTTTTACTCATGCTGGAAAATTTACTGGGAAGAAAGAATTTACAAGGAGAAATCATTTAAGATTACATTCTTTTGACCAACGCAATAGTTGCATAAAATCACATAATGTATATCATTCTATTATTTGCAATTATTGTGGTAAATTAGGTCACATTTCTCACGCATGCTATTTTAGAAGAAATCCTAATGTGAGAAATAAATTTGTTTGGGTTCCCAAAGGACAAGTAAAGTCCAATGCTAACACTCAAGGACCCGAAGCAAAATGGGTACCAAAATGTCCTTCTAGTATTTTAATTTTGCAGGATATTTCTAAGAACGGACATATTGGCCTAAAGAAGAAGAAAGTGCCTAAGAGAGCTACTCACATGATCAATATGAGAACTCTTAGAGCACCCATTGCTGGAACTACAAAGTCCAATCATAGGAAGCAATGGATACAAGCCAAAGGAGTACATTGCGCCTCAAGGATGGACTACCACAGTGTAAAATTCGATTACCTTGAGGAGAACAAGAAACGGAGAATCTCTCAAGCATTAAGCAGAAGACTTCTTGAGTCTACATTTTATGAGAGAATATTGCAAGCATCCAAAGCAAGGAATCAAAAGTCTCAACCTCACAGAAAGGTGCATTGGGTATGCAAAAGCAATCCTCCAAGTACCTAAGAAAGAAGGGAGAAAGCCTTTCCTCAAGATTGTGACCACAAAGGAATTGATGAACAAATCTTGAGAAAGTTGATCTGGTATGGTTTTTGGTGCTGAACGTGGAAAGAAGAAAAATCAATGCTAATGCATCAAAATCAAGCAAGCTGCCACAAGGACAAGAGAAAATATGGTGATATCTAATCTTTACCCTTTACTGTGCTGATATGAAATTCATATTTGGGTAATGAATGCTTGTTCCTTGTTGCATTCCATTAGCAATCAATCTTTTATGATCTTCAAATTATTTTCCGATTGCTAAATGGACCGAAAATAGAATTGTGCATAATTTTCTATGTGTTTGTATTTTCAAATGCACAATCCAAATTTTTTTCAAAACTCATTGTTAAAGTGCATACAAATGATTTCAAAGATATTCATTTTCGTTTTGCATTCAAATGATTTTTAAAACTGGAAGTTAATATTTTGAGTGCTAAAAGTCAGAAATGCTTCAAATCCTTCTAACAGAGTTTTCTCCATCTCTAATGTGTTAATTCTTGATTTTAATGTGCTATCCTATACTTGAACTCCCAAATTCTATTCTTCAACAAGTTAGACCTTCGTCTAACAAGTTAACCATCCATATGAGTTTCAAGTCTATCCTTACAAAAAGATTCCAATACGTCAAAGCCTTATGCTTAATGTGTTTATCCTTATTGACTGAGTTATTCCAAGCACGATTATGTGATTAACCATTTCAATGGAATGACTCGTATAGCTTCTGGAATCTATTTAACCTACTAGTCATCTGGACTAATGAGTTAATGTACTTCATTATTCAAAAATCAGTATTTGAGTGTGAGCAAAGTCTTTGAACCTCCATCGTGAAAAGCCTTTCGGGTAACATCTTATCCATATGACTTTTACTCTCAGAAAAACTCTCTAATGTGTTAATATTGTCATTTGACATGTTATCCGATATGATCTTACAAATTGAAGCTATATGATATTTTCCCTCAATTTGTTGACTTCCACATTTTTTTAAAACAAAAGTATTTACTTTTAACAAGTTTTTTTAAAAAAACCTTTGTTTTCAACATTCATATTTTAAACAAGTGCGTTAAAAACCTTATTTCAAAGGAAGCATTATTTATCTTCTAGCTTCATGTGCATATTTTTACATAACGCTCATGATTTGAATAAATCATCGTTTTCAAATTCATGATCATTCATGGCTAACCTGTTTTCACGCAAGCTATTAGTTTTTCATAAAGTTGATCTGATCAAATCTGATTTCAAAAGAATTATGATTGATGATCTTTTAGTTATAAAAATCTTTTGATACCTTCCTTGCTCAGAAATCATATGGTTTAATCCATATAAGAGCATGAGAGTCATTGTAGCTAACATGGTGTGGACCCAAGAGAAGTTGGGTACCAAGGAACTAATATTTGTGTTGTAGGTATCCTAAAGAATTATAAGATAAAATTCTCTTGATGGAGATGTCAATATGGGAGAATTGAATTTCTTCCTCGGGTTGCAAATCAAACAGAGAGAAGAATGGGATCTTCATATCTCAAACAAAGTATCTCAGAGAACTTCTAAAGAAATATGGTTTGGAGCAAGCCAAGAGTACAAATACACCTATGAGCTCAACCATATCATTGGACGCGGACGAGAATGGCAAGGATGTGAACTTGACTAAATATAGAGGGATGATTGGATCACTACTCTACCTCACGGCAAGCAGACCAAACATTCAGTTTAGCGTAGGAATGTGTGCCAGAGATCAATTAGCTCCCAAGCAATCATATGAAGAAGCCGTCAAGAGAATCCTCAGATATCTTGTCGGTACACAAAGTTTGGGAATCTAGTATCCAAAGAAAGGCGCAGAATATCTAATAGGATACTCAGATGCTGATCACGGAGGATACAAAACAGACAGAAAAAGCACCAGTGGACAATGCCAATTCCTAGGAGGCTGTCTTGTTCGTGGTCTAGTGAGAAACAAAACACTGTGGCAATCTCTTCAACAGAATCAGAATATGTGGCCACTGCCAGCTGTTGTGCTCAGATTCTATGGTCAAAGCAACAACTACAAGATCTAGGAATCAACTTACGAGAGATTTCAATCCTATGTGATAACACGAGTACGATAAATCTGTCCAAGAATCCAGTCCACGATGCCCGAACTAAGCATATCGATGCTCAACATCATTTCATTCGGGATCATGTTCAAAAGAAAGATGTAAAGGTAGAATTCATCTCCACTGAATATCAAATAGTCGACATTTTCACAAAGCCTCTTGACCAGCAGGAGTTCAAATACTTCAGAAGAGAATTGGGAATGGTAAATCCCAATGAGCTATAAGAAATTCTGCATTACTTCTTTATTTTGAGTATTTCGATTTAATGTTTTGATGATTAGAAAACTAACTTAAGTATCAGAGTAGATAGAAATTTATTTTGCAGGAAGCTCTGTTTTGACGTTGAAAAACAGAGGTGAACAGAGTAGGGATTGATCGATAAAAGCATCGATAATCATGTCTCGAAGAAGACTCAATTTATCAATCACCTGATCGATAAATCCAATTTATCGATCAACTCATCGATCAACAGGATATATGGAATTGACTAGAAATGATGGGGAGCAGAATTATGGATAACCTGATCGATAACTCAATTATCGAATAATTTATCGATCAACAGCAGAAAGAGACTCTTCGGTCAATCAATCAAATGGGTAAGGTTTATCAATCTATTAATCGAACATTGATTAATCGATCACATGATCGATCAACTTAGACAGGTATGACCTCTCACTACAAAAATTATTCATAACATATTCGATCAATTGCTTTAACGTGATCTATAATTATGCATTGTGTTTCAACTATTCTTATTCGATCATCCTTAGTCTCCACCCTATCAATTTTCTGATTAAAGGGGAACTTCACATTCACATATGTCTTATATCTTAAAAGCTCATCCCTTCGTCAAAATAGTATACTCATCCGCATTCACTGTCAATTGATTAGTTTTGATGATGAGTTGCTTTCACATTTTCCTTTCATGATCCAATTCGAAAACAATTTATAGAAAGGATTATGTATACATTTGATATTTGATTGTACTAATTATTCTCCTTGCAAGAAGTTGTTGAATTCATAACAGGAGAATTTATGCTAAGAAAGAAACTCCTCACTGGACTACAGAATAAATTATCCAATTTGAGGATTGATAATTTAATGCGCAATCAAGATAAGGAGAAAAGAGAAAGTGATTGAAGATAGAAAGATTATTGGCATCAACCTTCAAAAGCATAATCACCAATGCCAATACGAATGAGCATTAAGCTTGGCAATGGACTTCATGGATCAATTTCTCAACTTGCCGAATTCAAATGAGCATTTCTAAACCCTCTCTCTTATATTTATGAACATTGGTGCATTACATGGTTTGCATGCACTAAGAGACGAGAACGATATAGGGGAAGAGATTACCCCTCACGCCGGAGCTATGTCCTTTAAACTTTTTGCTGATGTCAAATAGGGGGAGAGATAGGCATGAAAAATATGTTGCATCTAATTTGATATCATATCATCCATATTTTTCACAAAGGATTTGCCATCATCAAAAAGGGGGAGAATGTTAGATATGATTAGTTTTGATGATGTCAAATAATAGAGCAAAAAGTTTACATAAATTATTTATCTCATATTTTGACTAACTATCATACTTACTATCTTATGTAGTTTCCTCAAGAAAAGAAAGGAGATATTATGTTACACTTTGAGTTATGGAGAATGATCAAGAGGAAGAAGAAGAAGAGAGATTGAGAAAAGAAGAACTTGCAAGATCAAATGAAAATATCAAGATTCAAGTTCATAGATTTGATGTTAAACGTTGCTATACTCAATCAGAAGTTTGGATGGCTCAGTCGGAAGCTAAAATATACAACCGGGAAGTTATACCATCATATATTGAGTCACCCTTCATATAAACATGAAAAATAAGCTTCAGAGGTGATTTTCATGGGCAATTATCGATCACTTGATCGATCATCCATTTATCGATCAAGTTATCGATAAAATACATCCTCTGTTATGCTCTGTTCTTCGTTCAGCTCTGACATAGGTTCGGTATTTCTTCAATATCTCTCAAACCACAAATCCGTTTGAGGTGAAACTTGATTCCTATGAAACTAGACTCAGAACACGGTTCATGGACACCAAATTCACCTTCAAAGAGTTTCATATGAGGGAGATATGTTGCTCGAAAGATTGCAGTAAGGATTAACGCCTTTATTCCGACCTTTAGTCATTGTGATGAAGATAACTTTGCAACCACAATGAATTTTGGGGTGATTCTTGTTGCACTAGAAAGTAGACTCAAATAGCTTTCTGGGGATAGGTCATTTGCAAAATTTGGAGTTGAATTGGAAGAGTTATGATCACTCAAAGTTGACCTTCGTTCTGCTTGAATCAGACTTCGAATTTATTGAGGCAAAGACCAGAAATTCTACATTGATTGATTAAGCTCTCAAACAACATACTACTCAAACATGTTATTGAGTAAAAGCACTAGAAGAAATGAGGAAATGAAAAGCCATTATCAGATGTTACTCGAGCCTGATCAAGCAACTACATATTCGATCATTTTATCGAGTTCCTGGTACTATCTCTTTAATTCTTCTCTCTTATCTTCATATGCATTATTGAGGTTTTATAACCTATTGGATAAATGGTTTTCGGATAACATTATGGATAGATGTTTTATCGATCACTTGATCGATAAACAAAGTTAACGTTATGGATAAATAGGCATTTATCGATAGCATGATCGATAAATAGATTATCGATGAGAAGACAGATAAATGGTAATACGTTCTACTCATTCTATGTTTTACTTTAATCTCCATTTATCGATCACCTTATTGATCAGTCATTTATCGATAATATGATCGAACATTGCTTCATAGCTCTGCATGCAGATAATTATTTTAGTAGCTTATCGATCACCTGATCGATCACATGATCGATAATTAGCACATCGCTTTTAAACCATGATTCTTCGATCACTGGATCGATAATCTTATTATCGATAATATGATCGATCACCGCACTTCATGTTTACCTTGTTTTCACATAACGTGATCGATAATCAGTTTCTTTACCTTACATGATTAAATCTCTGTTTTTCATTTTATCGATCACTTGATCGAATATTCATTGATCGATCACCTGTTCGATTAATCCACATAGTCTGTGTTTTTCGCTGAATATATTGTTACTCAT